GTTTGGCTGGAAAGTAAGGAACACAAGGCGCGTGCGAAAAAGGATCCCAGTTACAAGGAGTACGAGCAGCGGTGGAGTGAGTTTTCTCAAGCGGGTATTGCACGTAAAGGCGGTGGGGACTCTTTTACCGCAAGCGCCCGCCCCACGCCTAAACGCGTGGTGGAGGAATTCATCTCTGGCTCCGCGGGAGGCAGTCTCAATAGAACCCCTGGTCTCACCTGCGCGTCCTCTGTTCCCTCGCGTCCTGGCACGCACTTGCTGGGGGAAAGCAGTGGCGTCTCCCACGATGTCTCGCTGGAGAGCAACGCTTCCTCTGTGGTAATGTTGCCTGACTTCTCCCCAAACAACGGCAAATTCTCTCCCTTTGTGCGGGGCGGTGGAGTGGCCCACCAGTTTGGAACGCAGCTCACACAGAGTCACGTGCAATCGTCACGAGTGCTACCGCAATCGATGCAAAGACATGATGCTCCTTCTCGGACTAGCCTCTCGGACGCATCATGTATGACGGGCGCGGGGAAGCCGGCAACTGGCTTGGCACGCCCATGTGGTGGACCCACGCAATCGGTTTACACGCCCACAGAGCTTTTGGAGCGCACGGTGTTCATTACAAAGCTACCTTCCTCTCTACGATGTGCGCAGTTTCGTCGGCTGCTGCTTTACTTTGGGGAAATCAACAAGGTACGCCTGCGCCGTGACGACAATCAGGCTCAAACAAAAACTGAGGCTGTCGTCGCCGCTGCTTTTTCTGCGTCTAAGGCAGCGACGCTCTCTACCGCCTCTACTGCTGGTGCGCATGGTGGCGCGCTTCCAGTGACTCTGTTGCTTAGTTTTGTGGAGTTTGCCGAACCAGAGAATGCCAAGGCAATGATTGATTACTGTCGCAATGCCAGCACGAAGTCGAAGCCCTTCAGTTTTCTTAGCGATGCGCCGGCTGAGTCGCTGGAATCGAGCCACTTTTCCCCGGAGGAACTGCAGAGGCTGCTGAGCGTCAGAGCAAGCCCCGCACGGAAACCTATTCACGATAAGCGTTCTCTGGACGCCGTGCTCGTCCCCGACAAAAAATGCCCCCGTCGTGTGCTGCGGCAGCAGCCCTGCCGCTTTGGCTGTGACGGGGGCGGAAAGACGCTTGGCAGCGACGTTGATGCGGGATTGCCGGCGTCGTCCGCTTCTGCGGCTGGTTTCGCAGGCAGCGGTGGCGGGTTGGGGGGAGGCGGCGAGGGGAATGCGGGAGTTGCGGGGGTCGCCGCGTCGGAGTCGCCGCAGTGGCGTTCCGTCGCGGCGTCTGCCCTTCAGCCGCCGCCGTTTCGCGACGACGCGTCGGAGGCGCCACCGCTCTGGCCGGCCGTCGGCGCCGTCGCCGTCCCGGCGACGTGGCTGGAGCAAGAGGTGGGGCAGACGGGCGAGCTCAACCCGTTGGAGGGGGTGTCGTTCCTGGGGGGCGCCGACGACGCCGCGAAGGTGGAAAACAAATGCGGTCTGCCGCCGCGGCTCCAGTCGTATGTTGATGAAGTCTTTCGCTAGAAGCGACGATGGACGCACAAGCTCAAACCAAGAGGGCGTATATATATATATATATATATATATATATATATATATA